CGGGTTGTTCCGGTGATCTCGCGATTTTCCATTTGTCGAAATCTAATATGCTTGACACGTTTGTCCCGGTATTTCTTGGCAAGTCCAAAATCAATCAAGTAAACCTAAAATATAACACAGAAATAAATATATTATATATAGTAGAATAATTTAACCCATCCTCGGTAGACCCAGGGGCAGATAATCAGGGCGGGAAGAAGATGAAAACAGTTTACTTGACGGGCAAGTAAACTTTCGCGCGCACCAATTTTATCTTCTTTCCGCTCCGATTATCTTCCCCTCAGTCTCCGAATAACTCAGTGGCTGGCTATACTCAAAACTCGCAATCTGATTGGCTGCATATAGATGCCTTCCATTTGTTACTTGAAAGGCATCAAAGCAAAAAAAAAAGCAAAAAAAAGCATTATTAAGGCTTCTAACTTATGATTCTCTTCGCGCGTGTCCGCACATGAGGCCGCAAGGCTTCTAATGCATGCTTTAAATAATATAAGTTCAACGGAAAGTATTATATTGACATAAGATGGTGATAGAAACAATGTATGACTGCGGCGAGAAATACCCCCCTTATCCAAGGATCTTTCTCGAGACAGCAAAACAAAAAGAACAAATGGAATCATCGATTATTCGCTTCTAGCGCTATATCGAACAATCTGAGGATAAGCCAGACACTCATAATTCTAACTACATCCTTCGTTACACGAACACTGATTTGGTTCGTTTTAAATTAAATGAATCTCATTGAATATCGGAATTGTAAATAAAACCGTTTTTAATTTCAGGACAATAGAGCCCGCAAATAGCCTACAGGACAGGCGGTTTAGCAATAAGGGTTTTTACAGCTTGAGATGGAGAAACGAAAAAGTACCTTTCTATGCGTAGACTGTAAAATGTCCGTATTCGTTGGGCAAAACGCGGGGCCTGAACTGACTCATCCCCAGTCGTCTCTTATGAGAGGACTGGGGAGAGGACTTGGGACGAGCCAGGTGCCTGAAAAGGATCTGGATTGGCGCTTCGCGCCTCCCCCTTTCGCGCATCACGAATCGGTATCTCGAGTAAAAACGAAAGAAAAATAGAGAAACCGTTATGCAATTTAACATTCTTCCATCCGGAGCTTCGCGATCGTATATCGTGCTTCGTGCTCTTCTGTAGGCTATAATTATACAATTTTGTTACGAGTACGAGTTTTCCAGAAATTGCTAGCCGGAAATGTGCGCTATTTCATACTACGGCTGAAAAGATTATCTGGGATTATCTCTGAAGATTGATCTAGCTGCCGCGTTTTATTCAACGGTTGCTCAAGGCTATACTGTTTTCGTTATAATTATGAACGCCCTGCTCAATATAAACGCCCCCGGCGTTTACAATCGTTTTTGTTTTGTTGTAAGAACCTTTTTTATAAGAACGTTGAGGCTGAGATTGGCCAAAATTTTAAGAACATGCTAAGAACATACCCAGGCTGAGAGTTAGTTAGAAAGCCGTTTTTGTAATGAGCTCTAAATATACGTTTAAATAAAAAATAATAATAATAAAATATAACAATTTGGTCTAAGTAAATGTTCAGTTTGTTCATTTCTCCAAGATTATGTCCACGCCATCGAAGTCAATAAAGTTATATAACCGGAATTTATTGTTGTTAGCACAAAGGCGGGCCTATAAGCGCGCGGGACAGGGGCTTACAAGCGTCGGGTGCAGGGAGGGGGCGGGGGGGGGGGGGGGGATATAACCGAGATTTGGTATAAATCGGTACGTGCCGCCCAGACTCATACCCAGTCGCTATTTACGTGTTTTTGGGATGAGAGAAGATTGGATACGGCTGTGGAATGGGTCGCGCGGAGTTCGTATCCAATCTTCTCTCATCCCAAAAACACGTAAATAGCGACTGGGTACGAGTTTGTAAAAGCCGAGACCAAACCTCTGAGCGTACCTTATCTGTTTTGTCTCGTCGACCCATTAGAAAGTTCTCCGGCTTGATGTCGCGGTGCAAATAGTCATTTTCGTGAACAAACTTGATCCTGTCGATCATCTGATCAGCTAGCTGTATCACAGTCTTCAAACTAAACTTCCCTGATACTTTGTGCAGCAATTGATCCAAGTTGGCTCCTAGCAGCTCCATGACTAGAATGTTGTTGTGTAACTCTTGTCCGCACCATAACACTTGGGGAAAGCCCTCCTAGAATTCAATTGAATTTGTGAGAGTTTATCAGTAGTTTGACCTCCCAATTTCGACGAGAAGGGAGGAAAAGGAGAGAGAGGCTGGGATCGAGGTTGGTCGACGGTTGGTCTAGTCCTCTCCCACAAACCTATGACGTCATTTACTTTTCAAAAAGTCAAAATGGCATCATAAGTTAGTGAGAAGGAAATAATTATAATAATATATATCGATATATAGCTGTAATGATACCGTATTACCCAGAAACTCATCACTTGCGCTTCAATCCCGCCTGGGAGAGAACGCCTGCGGTACTGCGTGTAACTAAGGGTCTTCAGCACGATACTGCGCATGTGCAATTTTCAATAACATGGAAGAATCAAAACAGTAAATACATAAAGTTTGATTGAGAGGATGTCAACCCATTGGATATTATTACACATAGTCCGTATATATAATGCAAAACTTGGTTCCTTATCATGATGTAGCTTACAGTTTCCGACAGAACAATTTTGTAATCCATTTGAATCTTCCCCAGTCCTAACCATTCAGGTTAAGGCTTTCGTTACTATACTTTAAGGAAAGCAAGTGTCTAAATGTACGCGCAGATAACGAATTGCGCGACCAAGGTAAGAAGGCATTGTAAGCAAGTACAGTGGAACCTCCGCTAACGGACACCTCCCGTAGGCGGACACCTCTCGTAAGCGGACACTTGGTCATGTTCCCAGCTACATACAAACACTACATTTTAACCTCCCATACGCGGACACCTTTCTTAAGGCGGGACTTAACCTAAATGCCATTTTTCCGCGACTTAACATGGGTTAAATGGAAATATCTCGTTCACGTTTCAAGCAATCCAAAAACTCTATGCTCATCCCATGAATCTATGTTATGGAGTATTTTGTAAATTTTTGGGTGATTTTTGGGTATATTTGGGAGGAAATAGTTTTTCTCAAAGGAGTTGTAAAATTTAGGAAAATGAGAAATATTGAAGATTTGATGTAGTTTTAAAATTAGAATTTGAAGTTAAAAATTAGTAGATTGACAATTGACAGACAGTTGATAACCACGCAAGAGCACCCGCGTGGGTATCAACTGTCTGTTGGTGTTCCAAAAATTATTTTCTTTCTTCTATTCCTTCTTTAAGCCTCTTAACATTTCGTTGAAATTTAGGTGAAGTCCCCCCTTAAGACACTTTTTATGCTCCCGAGGATGTCTGTTTACGGGAGGCAGTTTCGACTGTAGTTAAAATCCATTACAACTGTTTTAAAAAACCACAAAAATATTATATTCTGGACATCTGCATTTTTTCCGTATTAAGTTGTTTTCCTTTAAGAATGCTATTGTAGATTCCAGGGAAAATAACACCGTAAGGAATCGATTAAAAAAAACTACTGTTTTATTAATTCTTCATCTAAGTTCGACATTGAATGCTCGTACAATCAGACAGTTCGTTGTTTTCCTATATAGTGCGAAACCACTAAAGGTAACGAAAGCTCTTTTATGAGCCTAACTGTTGTTTCTCTTCCTTTCCGTACCATTATTATGAGGCTATTTTGCCTGATGCAATTCAAAAGAAAAGAAGTCAATGATATCCTTACCGCATTCCCGTCTTCTCCAACGCGATGTAACGCTTTGAGCAAACGAGCTTCTTCTAACAGCGTCTGTGGTTGGCTTGTTGTTTGCTGAGACTCAATTTTAATGGCCACTTGTTCCCTACTCTCGATATCCTTTCCTAAACATATGACTCCAAACGATCCTTCGCCAATCTTGCCTAAGAGACGAAATTTCTTGGCAATGAGAGTTCCACCACTAACGGAAGGCCTAGAAGGACCCGCCATGTTGTTGTCACTTGTTCAGTACAGACATTCTTTTACTGATGATTCGCTCGTCAGGCTTCGTCATAATTGAATGGCTGGCTTAGCGCGCGCGAACGAAGGAAGTTTTTCAACTGACTGTCGAAAGTACATCGCTGAATTCCTTTGGTTTTGCTTTACTACCGTAACGCTCTATGATTGGTTTTAAAAAAACACGCGCCACCTTCTCAACCAATCAGGTGGAAAACCAAAACCAATCACGACTTGGTCACGCGCATTTTCCCGCGCTTGGCGCTGGTTACCGCGTGAAACAACAGGCGAAATCCCATCTGCCATCACAGGCGTTGACTTAGCTCCATAACTGGTTGAAAAACTCGCTCAACATACTCTAACCAATCTGCCTTTTACAACCATTCTGGAGGAAATCAAAATGATTTCCCTTGTTTGGTACCAGTTACACGTTGTTTCGTCGAGTTCTGATTGGCTCATTGAGTTATTTGCATTTCTTGTTACCGAAGATTTTGCGCGTTTTGACGCATTCAGTAATTCCGGCGAGTGCACGCATTTTGATGGGATTCTATGCACAAGAATATTGAACTAAATACTAAACAAATCAGAAGGTATAATGAAGTCAAACATAACAGTTGGTTATAACCACTTAGCTGACAGGGACGTTGTTCTGCAAATAAACCGGCACAATTTTCTGTGAAACATTTTGGTTGCTCGAGAAACTAATTAAAGCTTTTTCAACCCACGTCATCTAAATAGTTTAATTTTTCTTGCCTTTTTTACTTGCTTCGATTTATTTGTTTGTTTGTTAACGTTCGGTTGATGGCTTGGTTGTTGAATTTCGTTTTTGATTATGACCTTTTCTGGAAAGAAATAATGGGAAACAAACAACATTGATTGCAAGCAATTAAGTGACGACATATGCATCAAGTTGGCTTTTACTAGTACTGGTACAGTTGGAACGAAATGATTGTATATTTTAAGCTTGGTAGAAATGAAGATATTATTCTGTCAGTGACAACTGAAGCTACTCGGAAAAATATTCCGTGTCGAACCTATGACCTTCCGCACACCGGTCGGACGCTCTACCATTGAGCTACAGGGAGACTCGTACGAGACTGTGGTACAGTTGTTCATTCTAAGTTTCTAATTACATTGTTACGTCACATTCATTATCCAATTTTCAATACTAACGAGAATAAAAATCAAGTTCATTACTGTAATTACTGTCATATATTAAGCTCGACTCGTCAGAGAAGAACTAGTGACATGTACAAAGTAAATTGTCTCTAAACATCAAAAGAGCAGAACAACATTAGGCGAGCACTTTGGCTCACCAAGAACCCGCGCCACAGGAGGTAATAGCTCTTCTTCCAATTATATATGGCCCTTTCCATCCAACATGGCACGAGCACATCAGTGGAAGAAGAAACCCAGGATAAACAGTGCTACATTACAAGACTAAGCAACGAACTCCTTCTGTTTGTTTCAATATACATCGACGCAAAGTCAACGACGAAACTTTGCCAGACTTGTCGGCGACTCCGAGATGGCATCAGGTTTAGCGACCCGCTGTGGAAAGAACGCCTTCGTCGAGACTTCGAACTCAATCTTCGTATAAAGAGGCCATTCAAGTCGTTTTACGAAATATATCGGTTAGTATCGATGTCCCGCACAGTGACAAAGATTTATCTGTCGGGGAGGTTTTATTCTAATAATAATTCTCCGGGGAAATACGGGTGTTTACCCGGATGGTTGTGGACTTGGGTTATACTAAACACCAGCGCCCCTGAACTTCCAACGTGGATTCGTAATCACAGAGAGAAATTTCTGCGGATCAAGGTGAGCGAGATGCCACTGGGACGAATCCAGCGGGTTTGGAATTTAGCCGCGGGGGATTTCTCGGGGTCCGAGAGGTACGGAACGAAAGAGGAACTATCTACTACAGTTGGTCGGACGTTCATAAAGTTTTCTTCGCCAAGTATGGTGGACTCCCGGAATTGACCGCGCACTCGCTCAAACGATGCTCGCGCGCAAAGAGACATCTCGAACGAAATTTCACCGAACTCACCACGGAAGACTCGCCGAGCCAAAATCAATCTGGACAGACTTTTATTGCTGTCATACCGCATGACTTTTTCACATCGACTTGCAACATTAGGAACCTCTTGCAATCTTTGTGAAGAAACAGAGAGATGGCTGGCAAATGTAGAAACGTTTGAGGTTAATGAAGGTCTATATACAATCAGTAAGAGCATTAATTAGGGAAAAACACAGGAAGACAGCGTCATGTTATACCAAAGTTTGGTTTACTTGGATTATTACGGTTGCATGTGCACCTACATGCGTGTAGATGACAACTTCAAGTTGATAGACTTATACGAATTTTGCTAATGTAATTTTCATCTAAATATCAGATTGGCCAACGAGAAAAAAAAAACGTTTTTCAAACGTTTTCAATACGCGCAAGACACTTACTTTATGACTGACATACAGGCATGCATTTTGAGTCAATTGATTATCATAACTGAGACAATTCACTTGATCAAGTGACCGTTAATATATTGGTAAAGTAGTATAGAGCAGTTTTACGAAAAAGAAAAAGACTGAATGTGAGGAAAACGTTTTAATTACACGACGCACGGAAAGAAGAGCGAAAGTAGAAATATCCATTTATTGTTGGTCCAGTCATACATGCAGGGCAGCTCGGTGCGAGTTTAACTTAGTATTAAAACGCACAAACGTTTATGACAATGGTCTTGGGATAATACTTGTACTCTAAAGTACACAAAGGGAGAATGCGCTTAAATCTGTTATTAAAAACAAGTTTACGTTTAGATTAGCGATTTTGCAAATTTGCCAAAAGTCTCTGTGTCAGCTGGATAACAACTAGCGCTTTCGGGAAATTCTTATACTGAAGTAATGTTTTAACATGCAACGTGTGTGAGTGCAGTGTTTGTGGGTGCAGCGTGCGTGAGTGCGGTGTGCGCGACTGCAGCGATCCTGAGTGCGGTGTGCGCGACTAGTACTGTGGCCGTCCTGAGTGCGGTTAGCCTGCGTAGCCGGCGGTCTTGTTGGTGCGGTGTGCGCGACTGCAGCTATCCCGAGTACAGTGTGTGCGATTGTACAGATCCTGAGTGCAGTGTGCGTGACTGCAGCTGGTCGCACATTTAAAAAGGTGTGACCAGCGCACATGAGCTTGATTCACACGTTCAACACACAAACGCAGACGCAAGCACTATTCAAAAACGACATATTAAACGGATGCAGTGCGGAGGCCGAGCCGGCATTTGAAGTAATTTTCCACAAAGACGGACGACGCTGCATTTGCGTATTTTGTAGCTCAACCGTGCAAGGCAAACGACAACCCGAAGTGCAAGGAATGGAAGATGTATCACTTTTGTGGATACGTTTGTTTTTTCCTATAGTTCACAAGCGCCAAGCAAATGCAAACCCAAGCGCATGGGAAAATTGGGGGGGGGGGGGGGGGGGGGGGAGTGTTGACGCAAACACAAACGCACGAAATGGGAAATTCTTCATTACTTGCCTTTGTGTTTATGCTACTGGATCACACATGAAATTTTCGCGGCTGAGCACGAACTGCCAGATAGAAGAGTGAAGTGCAAGACAGGTGCGCGAAGTGTTATTCAGGAGCGTGAAATGCCAGACTGGAGCACAAAGTGCGAGACAGGAGACTGCGCAAAGTACGAGACAGGAGCGCAAAGTGCGAGACATGAGCGTTAGTGTGAGACAGGTGCGCTAAGTGGGAGAAAGGAGCGCAAAATGCGGCGAGACAGGAGCGCAAAATGCTAGACAAGAGCGTAAAGAGCGAGTAAGGAGCGCAAAGTTCTAGACAAGAAGAGCGCGACGTGCCAGACAAGTGCGCAAAGTACAAGACAGGTGCACACATTGAGAAACAGGGGCGCAAAGTGAGAGACATATGCGCAAAGTGAGAGACTGGGGCGTGAAGTGAGAGACAAGAGCGTGAAGTGCGAGACGAGCGTAAAGTGCGAGGAAGGAGCGCAAAGTTCTAGACAAGAAGAGCGCGATGTGCCAGACAAGTGCGCAAAATGCGAGACAGGTGCGCAAAGTGAGAAACAAGGGCGCAAAGTGAGAGACATGTGCGCAAAGTGAGAGACTGGGGCGTGAAGTGAGAGACAAGAGCGTGAAGTGCGAGACGAGCGTAAAGTGCGAGGAAGGAGCGCAAAGTTCTAGACAAGAAGAGCGCAACGTGCCAGACAAGTGCGCAAATGTGAGACAGGTGCGCAAAGTGAGAAACAGGGGCGCAAAGTGCGAGACAAGAGCGTGAAGTGCGAAAGTGCGAAACAGGAGCGTGAAGTGCGAGACAGGAGTGTGATGTGCGAGATCGGAGAGCGAAGTGCAACACAGGAACACGACATGCGAGACAGGAGCGTGAAGTGCGAGACAGAAGGACTACAAAGTGAGGGAAAGGAGCGCTAATCGCGAGACCCTCGCGCGGTAACCCGAAAATCTCATTAATCGTGCGTGCTGCAGTATGACACAAGACAAGCGCGAGACGTGGGGATTTAATGTACTGGCGACAAAGAAATCCGATAATTTTGCTGTTATTCCACAAAACTATCATCAAGGACGGGCCGTTGTAGCAATAGCCTGCGTGGCAGGCGTAGAAAGGGGAGGGATGAGGGGAGTTCGAGCGCGAGCGCGAGGTTCGAGCGCTTCTCTCCTCGCGCTTCGCGCTCGAACTCCCCTCTGTACGCCTGCCACGCAGGCTATTGTAGCAAAAGTCAAGTATTTGCATTTTGTTGAAGATTTTGGTGATCAGTTTTCAAAATAAAGCGAAATTGTGAAAGAACACATGCACATTTCAGTATTGGGGGCGTGAACGACAAGTTGTGAAATTATATGTCGGATTTTCGAGAAACTGCCCCAAAGATGTTTGTAAATCCTTTACATGTGTACACCTCCTTACCATTCTCGACCCAGACCTTCGCTGCTTCTCGAGAAGGGCTCTGGGTCGAGATTGCCCTCCTTACCTCTTCTCGTACATTTGCTAATATGTCTTGAGGAGAATTTGGTATTTAGTCAACACTTTTACCTGAGATGATTAAAGCCAGGTAAAGAGAAATTAGGAATTAATCCGGCACTAGTAGTAATACATATCGGCAATTCCTATGCTTGTTTTATGTCTGAACTTGAATTATATAATTTTCGAAAACTTCGC